AGGTAAGCATGTCCCTGCCGATCTGAGCTCTGCAGGCCACAAGGACCCATGTCTTCCTGAAGTGTCTCCAGGGCCCAGGTGGCACTGTCCATGGTGAGGACCCCAGTGAGGTGCTGATGGACGGGCAGAGGAGGAAGGAGACCTGGTGGGGGTGGCTCTGACAGGGAAGGATGTGCCCTGGATCACCTCACCTGCAAGGGGTCTCTCAGGAGGCTGCGGGTCTATTTCCTGCTTCACGATGGAAATGAGAGCCAGGCTGCTAGAGAGGCTGTGCCCTCCCCTATAGGCTGCTGATGTGACAACCCCGTGACAGGCAGGGCTGTACTTCAACTGACCACCACCCGTGCGTCTGTCTGTCCATCCTGCTGGCCCCGTGGCCTCCAACATCTGCTCAGCTGTGGCCACAGGGAGAAGACGCCATGACCCCCACCATCAGGGTCCTGCTCTGCCTCGGTGAGATGGGAGGAGGGAGAGGACCCTGGTCTGACAGGACCCCAGGACTCAGGAGGCTCATGGGGAGGAGGGGGCTGCTCAGGGTTCAGGGCAAATCTCTCACAGGGACTATCTTCCAGGGCTGAGTGTGGGCCTCAGGACCCCAGTGCAGGCAGGTGAGTCTCCCCAGGACTCCCAGGTCCCACTCCTCACTGGCACAAGGGCCACCCTCCAGGCAGCTGGGAAAGGGGTGCAGATCAGTCTGACAGAAGGGGGGCATCTGGGACTGAGAGCTGGGACCAGGGGTGGGAATGTCTTGTAACCCAGTCTCTGATTCCTTCCAGGACCCCTCCCCAAGCCCACCCTCTGGGCTGAGCCAGACCATGTGATCCCCTGGGGGAGCCCTGTGACCATTACTTGTCAGGGGATCCCAGGGGCTGAGGAGTACCGTCTGGATAAAGAGGGAAGCCCAGCACCATGGGAAAGACAAACTCCACAGGAGCCTGGGGACAAGGCCAACTTCTCCATCACACACATGACAGATGTACATGCGGGGAGATATCAATGTTACTGTTACAGCCCTACTGGCTGGTCAGAGCACAGTGACCCCCTGGAGCTGGTGGTGACAGGTGAGAGGACACTCAGGGGTCCCAGCCTCAGGCTCTGCCCTCAAGAAAGGGGTCGGCTCTCAGGGTGTCCCCCTCTCACAGCCCAGCCCTGGGGGACATGAGGGAGGTGTGAGCCCCAATTAACATGCTGCCTCCTCCTCTCCTAGGATCCTACAGCAAACCCAGCCTCTCAGCCCTGCCCAGCCCTTTTGTGACCTCAGGAGGGAACGTGACTCTCCAGTGTGTCTCAGGGCAGGGATTTGACAGGTTCCTTCTGACTAAGGAGGGAGATGACAGGCTCTCCTGGACCCTGGACTCACAGCGACTGCCCAGTGGGCAGTCCCAGGCCCTGTTCCCTGTGGGCCCCGTGACCCCCATTCACAGGTGGACGTTCAGATGCTATGGCTGTTTCAGGAACAGCCCCCAGGTGTGCTCACACCCCAGTGACCCCCTGAAGCTCCTGGTCTCAGGTGAGTCCCATTATTGTCCCATCCATGGATTGAGGTACCAGCCAGGTTATTGGGGTGTTTTTTGTAAGCGGAGCCACAGGTGAGAAGGTGGGGTGTGGGAAAACATGGGATCCTGGGCCAGAGACGCAGAGAGAGACAGTCAGATCTGGGGGCAAGGCCAGGAGAAGGGGTTTATGGGAGGAGCAGCCCCTGTCACTCATGTCTGGTCTCCCCAGGTGAGTCTGGGAAGCCCTCCCTCCTGAGCCAGCAGGGCCCCATTGCAGCCTATGGACAGAGCCTGACCCTCCAGTGTCGCTCTGATGTCAGCTATGACAGATTCGCTCTGCACAAGGAGGGAGGACGGGACCTCCGTGAGAAACTTGTCCTGCAGCCCCAGGCTGGGCTCTCTCAGGCCCACTTCCCCCTGGACACTGTGAGCAACTCCCATGGGGGCCGGTACAGATGCTACGGTGGATACAACCTCTCCTCTGAGTGGTCGGCCCCCAGTGACCCCCTGGACATCCTGGTGGCAGGTGAGGAGCCAGTGGGTTTACTCAGGGACCCAGACTCCCCACAGGCCCTGCTGGGGGTCTCAGGGGGTGAGGCCAGAATGAAAGTGCAGGCCCCAGGGAGGGAGAGAGACTGAGAGAGGCAGTGGGTGGGAGAGGTGAGGGCGAGACTCAGAAACAGAGACAGACAGAGAGGAGGGTACTCAGAGAGAGGCCTGGTGACTCTCAGGTCAGAACAAGGTGGGCAGGCAGCCCTCACCCTCTTCCCTCTTTCTAGGATGGCTGCATGACAGACCCTCCCTCTCCGTGCAGCCAGGCCCCAGGGTGGCCTCAGGAGAGAACGTGACCCTGTTGTGTCAGTCACAGAGCCAGAGGGACACGTTCCTTCTGTCCAAGGAGGGGGCAGCCGGTCCCCCCGAGCGTCTGAGATCAAAGCACCGAGCTCAGCAGTTCCAGGCGGAGTTCTCCATGAGCCCTGTGACCTCAGCCCACGGGGGCACCTACAGGTGCTACAGCTCACACAGCACCTCCCCCTTCCTGCTGTCACTCCCCAGTGAGCCCCTGCAGCTCCTGGTCTCAGGTGAGGGGCCCCTGATCCTGTCAGCTCAGGGTCCTGTCCCCAGAAGGATAATGGGCTGGAATGGAGTGGGGGTGTACTAGGAATGGTCACCCAGAAGACATTTGCATTTCAGAGATCCTCCTTAATCCCACGTGCACCCCTCACTGTCACCTGAATCCTGAAGGTGCCAGGTGGGCAGTGGGAGGGTTTGAGGGGCCACAGGGCAGATACAGGAGGATCTGAGTGAGGTGGGGTCTCCAGGGTCAGTCCCAGATTCTCAACCCCTTCTGTCCTCCTTCCCAGGAACCTCTGGGACCCCAGCCCCCCACACTAGGGTCCATGTCCACAGCTGATGAACCACAGGGTCTCATTTGCTCAGAGAAGGAACTGACCACGCCAGGGCAGTTCCGAGTCTCTCAGAGGATCTAATACTGCCCACCCCTCGTTCCCCCGCCCCATACAGACACTTAAGAACAGG